CTCAAACGAGCAAGATTGCTGATTATAGTACGTCTGCTGTTAAAGAAAAGATAAAAAAGGCGATTAAAATTAATAGCATATGCCAGTGGTTCCCAAACTTTTCCTAGTCGCGGCGCCCTTTTTCAATTTAATTTTTTTCCATAGCGCCCTACCCTAAGTATGACTATTCGTAAGTAAGAGATAGAAAAAATAAAACTCGTGTATCTTCATTATTTTTTTACTTTATTAACATTAAATTGATATTTAATAATTAATGTGATGGATGAGTCTGCAAATCACTACACATTTTCTTAAATTAAGGCTTTTACAATATTTCGCGGCGCACAGTTTGGGAATGACTGGCATATGCGAAGAAAAGTAGGGTTTAGAGGGATCTCTTGTTTTCATAAACATAGAGCTTGCTTTCATTTCAAATTAAAGTGTTTGGTAAAAAGATTCGAAAGTCCATCTCATCAAAAGGCCTAGCCTGTTTCCACTGGAATCGGACGAGATTGCCTCGGAAACAGTGTCAACCAAAATGTTCCAGTAAAGCCAATCGACAGTTGATCAAGAGGAATCCGCCGTCATCCTCTGATGGGATTGACCTTCGAATCTCTTCACCAAAAACTTTCATCAGAAATAGAAGCAAGCTCAACAATTATGAAATTAATAGATTAGGGAATACGTTGAACGTAAGGAACAATAGTAAAAAGTTGAGTACGAACTATTTATGCTTATTTTTAATATTGAAGAGGATAGAGGATGTCTAACCACCATCCAAAAGAATGCGATTCTTCCTGTCAGCCTGTTATAGGGTCTAACCTCACTTACAGGTGTCAAACATCTGGATTAAGATCATCAACCAAACCAGACAGACGATATTACGCAATTCCAAAGCTTAATGAACCTAGATAGACCTGTTATGGAAGGGGGCTTCACAAGCTGACTTACATGTGCACAAGTTTACACCTTATTACCTCAATTAGAGACACTTAAGAAATTACGCAGTCTCAATCAGGGTTTTTCTTTGGTCATTAAGCCTTGATGACCCGAACCTGGCTTTAGGCTTTTTTAATAATTCCGATTTAGAGCCGGTATTGCATATAGACGCTAACACAGGCAGGAGTACAATGACCACTATGCAAGATAATTAGCCAAACCATTCTATATCTAACTATGCCTATACATTTTCGCTTTCTAGTTATGAGTATGTATAAGAGGCAAGAGAGAGCCTGGCCTCTTGTTGAAACTTTTACAAAAAATGGGTTCCGGTTCTTATGATGTCCATCATATGATGGACGAAAGATCAGCCAGTCTTCACCCGAATCGAAGGAGAATGTCTCGTGGACCGCGCCAGCCGGAACGTTGTATTAAAGCCAAATATCCGCAGTACAACGGGAATCAGCCGTCATCTCCTGATGAGATCGACCTTCTAATCTCTTCACCATGCAATTTCATGCGAAATGAAATCTCCCCAACAATTAAGGAAAGTATACGTAAGTAGCATGACATACGAATAATGAGAAATCGAGAGGCAAACATGGTGAAATTCTTCAACAGTACATTAATGCTTATTGTTGGGGCTTGTATGGTATCTTAAAGGAAGTGTTTTGATACTGACCCCACTGATCCAGATGGATGTGGAAATGGTGTCAAACAGGCTACCGTCGGAGATGTCAAGTCTTTATCTGCATCGAGTCGAACGCGAAAGAGTCGGTCACGTGGCTCTTCATGCCCGTTCGATGAAACTGATAAGAAAATAGAAAAGGAAAAATTAAAAAATAATATGAAAATCAATTGGCTGATTTTAATTTTACAAAACACACTAGTTCCTAAAGATTGTGGTGCAATTTACTGAGATGAAATGAGACAAAAACAATGGGTTAATCAGTTTAACGGAGATGCCAGGCTGATTCACTTAAACATACATGCAAGGAATGTCGGTAAGAAGAACAGGGAGATATGCCGATAAAAGGGAAAACATACAGATGCACAGAGGCAGATTTTCGCAAACAGAGGAGCTAGTGGACAAAACTCTGAACATATAAAGGTAG